ATTGACGTATGATAGCAAACGAAGTTCGTTCTAGTATAATTGCTTTTGCTATTCAGTGATGTACACTTAATCTTAATGACCACTGGTGTCTTATTTTCTTCTTTCGTTCAGATATTGACGAATGTACCATAAATGTGCACAACTGCGACCCATTCGCGGTTTGTAACAACACGAATGGATCTTTCAACTGCACATGCATTGTAGGGTATGAAGGAAATGGAAAAACTTGTGTAGGTGAGAAATGTTTCTGTGTTCAGCTACCATAACTAGACGTTGCCTCTCATTCATTACGGCAATACACTGCCAGCTTAAAAGACACACTTTTACGCTATTGGGAAGGAATTGATACTGAGCGTTATTGGACGAACCCGACACAATTAAATTCCTTGACCCTTTCCTCTGATTCCATAGACATTGATGAATGTGCAATATCAACTCATAACTGTCATGGAGTTGCTCACTGTTTCAATCATCCTGGATCCTTCAGCTGTGAGTGCCGGAAAAACTACATTGGAGATGGGATCTCATGTGAGCCCTTTGGTAAGAACTATTTCAAATTTCAGCTTCAGACGGTTTAGCTTTTTATTTGTTATTACCATCAGTATGTTGGCTTTTTACCCCCTGGACAAGAAACATTAAATAAAGGGTACGATTCCACCTAGGCTTTGAAAATCGATTATTACGAAATGAAGTACTTGGCGCTAATCCATAGTTAATAAAATCCATCAGGAATTAAAACCAAATTACAAGATATGATACACAAACGCGGGTAAATATATCATTTATTCTTAGGAGATTTCTCAGTAACCATCAGAAACATTTCAAAAGACAAGTATCAGGCCACACCTGTGCAGCGTTCAGTAAAAAGTGTCCAAGAAGCCATAATACAGGGTCTAAATAAACATTTAACTATACTGACAAGCACCTTTGAATGGAGTGTGGTTAGCGAAATGGAGCTAGCTGCGTCGGAGTCAGCATTTGGAACTATAGTTAGTCAAGGGACAACGGAGTGGACCATAAACAAACGATCTATACCAGCTGGCATCTATCAAGTCAAATTTAATGCTACACTTGCAGTGGGAGAACCAGCATCTCCAAAGGTTCTCAACGCCTTTGATTATGGCTTCATTAAAGCTATTGCAGCCCCTGTGCGGGCCATTCTTGATGGGGGAAGCAGTGTACGATGGGGCTCCAACCAAATTGTCACCGTGAATGGCTCTTTAAGTTACGACGCAGACATTGGTCCTGGAATAAATACTGGGCTCAATTTCACTTGGTCCTGTCGGAATGACACTTTTGTAAGCAACACTTGTTTCGATTCTTTTCAAAACGAAGAAAGGTTAAACTCTGCAATCATTGCTATAAATTCAAGTAAACTCCAAGTCAACCAGACCTACTTCCTACAGCTGACTGTGTCTAAGGATGTTAGAAGTTCCCTCGCCGGAATGTCATTTGCAATAGCTGATGGAGAGGTACCTCAGGTGACCCTTAGGTAATTGTTATGTGGCATAAACGATAAATGGGAGAAAATGTAATATTCAAGGACCCTGGAAACGGAAGCTCTTATGATGTTTTTAGTGTAAGAGAACAAGCTTTCCAGAAGCAAACTTGCTTACACTGGGAAGGAGAGACACAACGAGAGAGGTACAACGTTCCAATGACGGGTTGAGATTCTGCCAAAAATAGAGAAGTAGAGTACTTATCACAATTAAATGAGTATTTTACGCTTCAGTCTCTCTTAACCTTTATCTGGCTGTAGAACTTAAATAGAATACTGGAGCTTTGTTATGACTACCCCAAAACTAACTTTGAATTGCTCTTGTAAAGGCTGGCAGATGGTGGTTTGAAAGAATAATTCGCAAATATAGATCTTATAAAGAAGTCTTTTCATTCTTGAAGTTAACGTATTTCCATTTATTTGAAATGTTTTTCTCCTTTATTTTTCTTAGATGCTTTGTAGATTGTGGCACAATAGTTTCTGCTTCAAATAAGCTCCGGGTGACATCAGAGTGTCTTAATTCTCCTTGTGATGGATCTGTCTACGAGTGGCGCCTCTCCAGACTCAGCAGTTCAAACAGTTGGGAAAACATACCTATTTTACCCAACATGACTTCCACTGCTGTTAATTCTACCAATATGATCATCAAGAAAAATTCATTACAATCCAAATCGATGTACAATTTAACTTTAACTGTAACATCTCCAAAAGGAGCATACGGTTTTTCTGTGCTTCTCTTTGAAACCGCTGGGGAGCCTCACAGCGGAAGTTGCGCGTCGTCTGCCTCTGAAGGCGTCTCACTGGAAACTGAATTTACTTTTAAGTGCTCCGATTGGCAGGATACGAGCTTACCGCTGACGTATGAATTTGCACTTGGAAATGAGCCGATATCTTATGGCACCTCACCCTTGTCTGTGTCGACAATATTACCTGCAGGATCGCCGGAAAATGATTTTAAACTAAAAGTCACAATTGTTATTAAGAATGCGGTTGGAGTATCTGTTCTACAGAATTTACTTATCAAGGTACTGCAATTGATTACATACGAGCTAACGTTTTGATGAAATAATTATTTGCGCTTACTCATGATATACGCATTTCCAATTTCATTTATAAACACTGTTTCAAAATTCTTTCTGTGGGCTCGCTAACCTTTTATCTCTTTTTTTCTTTCTTTATTTAACCTCCGATATTTTCCAATTCTATCTCAGTGTCGCTTGGCTAGCTTATGATTATAACTTAAACGTCAAAAAAACCATCCTTGTTAAGAAAATGTTTCGATACTTCTAACTTATCCATTCCAGGTAAGGCCATCATCTGGTCTTGATCCATGTTCTGCATCACCAGACGAGGTTGCAATCAAGTTAAAAAGTTTTGTAGTCGGGGAAGGTAATAAGCTCGATGAATTCCTCAACAAGGGTGAACTCAGTCAAGCTGTTCAACTTGGTATTTCTGTTTTCAAGTCAGCGAATGAAAAAACCGAATGTGGACAAGAATTAGACCCTAAGGACAAGGCATTGGTACGTTACAATACTGTTCAAATACAGTCAGGGATATAACTTAAAATTTACTGATTAATTTTTTTTTTGTTTTTGTCAGAACACGTATAGCGATTTCCGTTTATTTATGTCGCTAGGCATACTTAAAGAGCTAGTGCGACGAAATTTTTGCATTTTATTTTCCCAATTTTCTGGTGTTAACTTCTCATTTAGACCCTAAACTATAAGAATAAGCGTAATTAAGTTTCTCAAATTTTACGTTATTCCTTAAAAACAGCGCCGCGAAGACATTAAAAATTCTTCCGCCATTGCTCGAATAACACACTAGAGAGCCCGCGAAAACAACTACAGCAGTTTTAGTTGTGACGTCATCGACTCACTTGGACAACGTCGCCAAGGCATGCCTTTGCAAGAAATACGCAAAAGAAAGCTGGGGAACAATTCTTTCGAATTCTATTCCTTCTTTCCTGCGGAACAAGAAAAGCAACTCTCTCTCGGCATACCAAATTAGCCACATTTGTTGAGCCGTTGACGTCACTTCCGTTCTCGACCCAGTTTCCTCTTCTTCGCGCGGAGTTGTGTAGTTCGAAGACTGCTGGCTATTTCGATCGCGAGTCTACAGGAAAAATAATTTTACTTATCAGTGGAGTTTTGCCTTAAGATTTGGCAAATTTGTTACTTAGGTTAAGTACTTTCAACCTCTGAGGAGAAAAGAAAAGGTGCATTTTTGGTCGCTGTAGCACTTTAAAATATGTACAATAAATAATTTGAGGTAAGCCATTTTTTTCTTTTTGCTAGATTTCTAATACATTGATAACGAAGTTTACAGCCATAACACCAGAAAGTCTTGAAATGTCTCGTATGGTTATGTCAGTTGTAAGTTTGGCCATGGGAGAAGGGAATGAATGTGGCAGTTGCAGTGATAGTGGCAGTAACAGCAACAATGACAATATGGTAGGCCACTTTTTTTTTCCTTTTAAATCCTTTTTAAGGTAGAAATTAACATAAATTCAAGTTTAAACCTAAAGATGATTACCGTCAATGAAAGGGCATCTGTAGAAAACTTACACCGAATCAAATTGCGATCGAATAACTTGTTGTGGAAAGGTGAAAGCTTTAAGCTTCAAATTGGTTCAAGCCCGTACCTCCACAACGCGATATGGACCCTGCGACATACTAAGCAACGAAGGCACATATTCTGAATGACGAAAGCTTTACTGGGTTCCTTGACCCCCACCGAAGCCTCCGATCGAAAATAAATAAAATGTTTTGATTTGTAGCTAAAACCCGTCGTAAACAACAGGCTTATCCTCATGGGTAAATCATAATAAACGAAATATCTACTATTTTTCAGTATCTTAATAACTCTGACTTCAGTAGGGAGAATACATTTTGGTTTTATTTTCTCAAGGAATTAACGATGCGCTTGACGGATAGTACAGCAAATATGATGATTTCCACCCTTAACGATCCGGAGGAGCCTTTTACACCGCTGTTGGAACAAACAGCTACAAGTGTTACAGGCTGTCTCACAAATGTTCTAAAGTCAGCTGCAGGCTCGAGTCAGGATGAAACAGACTCGCTTGTTACCCCACCCTCTCCAGAGGTAAAGATCACAAGTAAAGTTCGAAATGTAATTATCACATATGTCTGTCCTTTCCCCATACAATTCCTTGTTCGGATTTCGTATTTCGACAGCTAATTCAAGATGGCTCAATTCTAAAGATAAGAGTAAGTATTAACTAAACAGAAAGGCGAGACCGATGAGTCCATCCGAAAGGAATTATGAATAAAGATCTTTTAAGGTCTAGTAAAATGGAAAAGTTATCGGGCGGGAATGACTACGTTATCATGTCCCTGAACACTAATCTTTGATCCTCCTTTTAGTTCGTGAAAAAGGCCTCTGAAAAACTAAGCAACATGAGTGATGCATTTTTCGGCCGCTTGGTTCCATCAGAAGATCTGGTCCTAAAAACTCCAAACTTGGCAATTTCTTTGAAAAAGGTCACAGCTAATGATGCAAAAGGACTCAGCATGGGAGATGGACCAAGTAAATTTAAACTCCCAAGCAGCCTTGGAAATATAGGTGGTGGAGACATAAATGCAAAGGTAACACCTTCGAAGCTATTTTTATTCTAACACGCTTGCTGGGCATGATACATTAGAGCGCTACCTTAATTTGTAATTAAACTATGGTAAGCAACTACGTTTACCTCATTAATTTGATAAAAGATTCTTTAACACCATTTTTTACACGCAAAGTCTACAGCAATTTCCTTTACTTATTATCAAATAATGCCATATCTTGTTTTCTTTTTCAGATGCAGGCTATTGATTTTAACCCTTATACCTGGGACAATAGCAGCAAGAAAATTAAATCACGTATCACGAGTCTTGAGCTTAAAAGTAACAGCGCGGCAAATATAAATGTATCAAATCTTGACAACGACATCGAGATTATCATTCCGATTTCCAGTCCACCGCAGAACTCCACCAACGGGACGCAGCACAACTTTCTTAAGCCAAATCAGATGTCAGCTCGTAGTTATTACGCAGAACTAGCCAATGTTCCTGTCTCTCTTAAGTTGGGTGAGGTCAAAGCAGGAATACAAATCAAGTTGTTCATAAAATTTGGCAAAAGACCAACGATAGATGATTTTGACTTCAATTTCACACTGATCTTTACATCTACATGTGACAACCAAACAGATGTTAATTCAACCTGTCAGAGATCAGTCAGAGATAAGTCTGTGACAGTGATACCATCCAAGTCGGGTTTCCTTTACGCGGGCGTGTTGTTTGAAAGCCCAAAGAATGAAAGTCAACATTCTAGGCAAAGAAGATCCTGTTTTGGTCATCGTCGAGAAAGACGGTCATGCGTTGGCGTTAAAGATCCCCCACCCAAAGGATTTCTCAACACTGTGGTTCCGAAGTATGATCCAAACACTGACCTTAACTATAGTTTGACCATCACCCAGTCGAGTTGTTTGTATTGGTCAGAAAATACAGAAAAGTGGACTGCGGAAGGTTGCCGGGTAAAAATGAATACTTTGATAATATTTCTGGTGCTAAGTACGCTGTAGTGAGTCAAGTTCACTGTTTCCTCTTCTTCAATGAGGAAGCGATTGATTAGTCATTCCGAACATAAATTACCTATGGGAATGAAATGTTAATCTAGACTTTCAAAATAACTGTAGACATTTTCACGCTCATTGGTCGAGAGCTATTATCAATAAGGTTAAAGACGATAAAAACCGACGTTTCATATAACCCAACGCACAGCACTCCTCGCCATGTCGGCGAAAAACAATTTTTCTTGCGAAAAAACAACAACTTTTGAAAGTATGGACAGCGAAAAAATGCCGAATTTTAAAGATCGGTAAACTCCGAGAATTGAAGAAAAACTTCTCGACGAGGAAGAGAAAGCAGACTGAGGAAAAATCTTCAGTAAGTGAAAGCCGGTCTTCGGTTTGCGAGGTTGAAAGAAGACGAACTTGAAGATATATTTATCAATGTAATAAAAACTATTGAGGATAACAAAGCCTATTACCACCCATCTCTTACTTGCATTTCATTGCAAAAGTCATCACAAGACACAAATTAAAACAAGAAAACCTAGCACAAAAACAACAAAGTAACACTGAATCGATCATTTCAAGCGCTGATGATTTTCTGAAAACTTTGGTGCATAAGCTGTCATGAAAATGTAAGTGTTATTGCAAAAAAAATTGACTTCAATTTCAATTGTCTATAACCTTATTGATAATAAAATTGACTTAAAAATGTTCAAAACTTTGCAGTGAAATCATTCGGTTGCGCCTCGTGGCTCCCCTTAAGTTTTCAAGTATTTTGAGGGGTAAAACTACTGATCAACTTGTTGCTTTTTAAATATTCTCTTTTTATCAAACGAGTTTCAGGGTTTATTACTGAAGGAGTGACCAATTTCTCTCGGGATTAAAATTATTGTATTTAATCAAGATCGCGATTGAGTTTAATTTAAAATTATTCATCGAAGTGGAGGTGAATAATTTTTTTAGTATATGCCACACAAATACCAAAAATTAGTTTAATTCTTTCAATTTACAGAAAAATTGTAAAATATTGAACTCCTAATGCACTTTTTTGTCTCATTAGCTGCTCGAAGGTGAACAGTACTTGCTATTTATTTCTGAAACAGCCTATCAGCGCGCGAGAAAAGCACTATTCACTTTTGTAGTATAAACTAATGCACAATATTTTGTTCATTATTTTGCGTTGAGTTGAGTTTTTCGTTTTGTCAAAGGTTAGCGAAGATTCGAATACTACCCATCTTAAATGTCTTTGCAATCACTTAACATCATTTGGTGGAAACTTCATCCAGGCACCAAATCCAATTGACTTCGACAAAGTGTTTACTGAGTTTTCAAACCTTGCTGAAAGTGGCAACATTTCAGTTCTTGTGACAATTGCCTGTTTTTTCCTTCTGTACTTCATTGTCTTGGTTTTTGCAAGAAAGGCTGACAAGAGAGATGAGTTCAAGGTAATCAAATTTCAAACTTCAGACGAGTATTTCAAATTATTTTCATCTGAGAGTGTTTCCTTTTTTCCAGATTTTCCCTCCTAAATTAATACCACTTGTCAAGGAAGGAGACTATTATTACGATATGGTTATAAGCACCGGCGTTTGGAAACATTCAGCAACAACAGCAAACATAAGCATTAGTATCAAGGGCGAAAATTACGATCAGAGTCAGATTCCACTAAGAGAAAAAGGGGAGACGAGCGAGCTTTTCGGACGTGGAAGTATCAACGGCTTTGTTCTCGTGATGAAAGAATCAATGGGCCCTCTAAAAGAGATTACTTTGGATCACGATAATTCGGGTGATAATCCGTCTTGGTTTGTAGAGACCGTAGTCATCCAAGATCGTCAGACCGAAGAAAGGTGGGTGTTCCCCATTAATAGGTGGCTTGCTTTGGAAAAAGACGACGGCCAAATAGAGGTTACTGTGGATAGCCGATCTTACTCCACCTTCTCAGCTCAGGTTCGTTCACGTTTTGCCAGGAAAATTGCCGACAGTCACCTGTGGATGTCAGTGTTTGGAAAAGCATGTAGCAGTACCTTTACACGTGTGCAGAGAGCTTCATGCTGCCTTGCAGTTCTGTTTAGTGCAATGATAGCTAATGCCATGTTCTATAACATTGGTGGTGAATCTGACGGTGCTATACAGGTCGGGCCATTTAAGTTTTCTTGGAAACAGATAGTCATTGGGGCACAAAGTGGCATAATTATTGCTCCTATAAACATTATTATTGCCTTCCTCTTTAAGTCTAGCAGACCAAGAAAGAAAAGGAGCGAGAAATACCAAGTGATAGACGAGGCCCAACGACTTTTGGATGAGATAACAGACACCGGTTGTATGCTTCCTCATTTCTTTGTCTATATAGGCTGGTTTGTCTGCTTCTGTACAACCATGACAGCAGCAACGTTTACGCTGTTTTACAGTCTAATGTGGGGAAAGGAAACCTCTGAGCAATGGCTTGCTTCTATTTTAATTTCCAATGGACAAGATATTTTTGTTGTACAGCCAACGAAGGTCATGATGGTAGTCATAGTTATTTCCTTTCTCCTGACCACAAAGAACAAAGGCAAATGCGAAGAAGAAGAAGAAACTGTTATCGATTCGCAGGAAGTTGAGATAGATTTTTTGAGTGATGATCCCAAACAGCGCTTTAAGAAATATCAACGGGAAAAAATGAGGGAGAGATCCAAAAAAGAAGCTCAGTTAACAAGCATGACCAAAGACATTATTCTGCATTTAATATTTGTCTTTCTCTTGGCTATCGTATCTTATGGAAACAAGAATGGAAATCGTTTTCTGATGACAACTGAGATGAGAAATCGAATAACTAAGTTTAATCTGGTAAGATTATGGTTTCAGCTGAATAAAAACCCTCTCTTTTCTCGAAGCAAAATGAGCCCATCTTGCCCGTTCAGGATTGTCCGCTTTGATCTCGTGCCAGAAAAAAAGTTTGTAGCTTACGTACAATGTTGGCGAGGAAGTCTCAAAAAGCGGCTGAAGAGAGTCAAACAGGAGAAAAAACGATCCTCGTGGGTTAATTGTAGTACAAACACAGTTACCTTCCTTTCGGATGTCGAAATGAAAAAGGCATTCTTGATTGTCATCGTATCTTTTTGCAGAGTAAATGAATTCTTTGATTGCTTAAGCTTGTTGGGAAAAGATGGCTGGAGATTAGTCTTGTTCTTTTTTCGCGTTTAGGCTTCCTGTCAGTCCCTAAAAATGCGTCAAAAGAACTCGGCTAATATCCAGTAATCCTGGCCTCACGTCTAATCAGTTAGGCATATCTTAAATTGTTCTTTCTTGGGGATCACAAAGTTTGTCCTCTCGACGGGTCCGTAGATCTTAATATCTACACTTTGTATCTTTTTTATTCTCCACTCTAGGTAACGGATGCACATAAATTNCGGGTTTATTACGAATCAACTTAACGGCCTGCTCCCAGTTGGCTTGTTAGCTCAATTGGTAGAGCGCTGCACTAGTATCGCAGAGGTCAGTGGTTCGAGTCCCGTACAGGCCTGATTTTTTTCAGGTCTGATTTTCGCTATTGCTTAAATAGCGCTATCTACTGCGAGGATCGTGCATCATATGTATCTAATACCGCAGTACAAAATATATGAACTTCATATATTTCATTGTATCTCATTTATCACTTTCACGGGTTTATTACGAATCAACTTAACGGCCTGCTCCCAGTTGGCTTGTTAGCTCAATTGGTAGAGCGCTGCACTAGTATCGCAGAGGTCAGTGGTTCGAGTCCCGTACAGGCCTGATTTTTTTCAGGTCTGATTTTCGCTATTGCTTAAATAGCGCTATCTACTGCGAGGATCGTGCATCATATGTATCTAATACCGCAGTACAAAATATATGAACTTCATATATTTCATTGTATCTCATTTATCACTTTCACGGGTTTATTACGAATCAACTTAACGGCCTGCTCCCAGTTGGCTTGTTAACTCGATTGGTAGAGCACTGCACTAGTATCGCAGAGGTCAGTGGTTCGAGTCCCGTACAGGCCTGATTTTTTTCAGGTCTGATTTTCGCTATTGCTTAAATAGCGCTATCTACTGCGAGGATCGTGCATCATACGAAACATCATTATTGTCTTCCTGTTTAAGTCTAGCAGACCAGGAAAGAAAAGGAAAGAAAAATACTAAGTGACAGACGAGGCCCAAAGGCTTTTGGATGAGATAACAAGCACCGGCCGTATGCTTCCTCATTTCTTTGTATATATAGGTTAGTTTCTTTGCTTCTGTACAATCATGGCAGCGGCAACGTTTACGCTGTTTTACAGTTTAATGTGGGGGAAGGAAACCTCTGAGCAGTGGCTTGCTTCTATTTTAATTTCCAGTGCACAAGATAATTTCGTTGTACAGCCTATGAAGGTTATGATGGCAGTAATCATTGTGTCTTTCCTCTTGACCAGAGGGAAAAAAAACAAATGTGAAGCAAATGAAATAATTGATGTAGATCCACCTGCAATTGAAATACATTTTTTGGATGATGATCCCAAACAGCGCCATAAGCGATATCAGCAAGAAAAGATGAGGGAAAGATGGAAAAGAGAAGCTCATTTAACAAACATGACGAGTGGCATTATTCTTCATTTAATATTCGTTTTTCTTCTGGCCATTGCATCTTATGGAAACAAGAATGGAAGTCGTTTTCTGATGACAACTGAGATGAGAAATCAATTTAGCAAATTTAACTTGGTAAGATCTCTCTTTTTCCGAAACCATGCCATCTTATGAATGATTGTAGTTAATTTTCTCCTGTCCAAAAACCCTATTTCTAAGGCAATCCTTTTACGAAATTGCCAAAATTGCAAGACTATAGACTCGCTGACGTTTAACAGCAAACTACATAGGTCAAATTCCTTCACATTACAACAACATTATGAAATTCAAGCACTCGTACTATTGGAGAACGCATATTGGAACAATTAACAAGTGACCTATGAAAGAAAACAACATGTAAGAATTGGCGCAACTCAGTAGAGTTTTAAGTTCAGTCTTTGTTCACGATGGCATGGAAACGTTTAAAATCTTTATTTTCTTGATGTTATTCACTTTTTGGTACATGTATTTAATACCAGCTACTGGCTTTTGTCCCCCTGACTCTTTGTTCTTGTTCTTTTTTGATTAATTATTCAGTATTTTCTTGTTTGTTTGGTAATCCTGTTTACAGGCCACCGACTGTTTATAACTGGTGCAATGATGTTTAGTTTTACGCCCTCTCAATCCTTGTTCTTTACCCCAGGTTAACGATGCACATGAATTAGAAGCATGGTTAAAGAAGGAACTCATATCAAACATTTATAACCAGGCGTGGTATAATGGAGACGAGGAGAATAACTACTTATTCACTGAGAACAAAATGTCGATCTTGGTGGGAATGCCTTGGTTGCGACAGCACAGAATCAAAATAGGTAAACACAAATTTATACTAATCTTTTCATATACAAACGGGTTCTCGAATGAGACTTATTGAAATGGATACACAAGTGAAATTTCTAGATCAGTTGAGTAGAGGCACATAGGTGCTGCAACATTAACATTTCAAAGGGACTTCCGCCAGTTCGAATAGCTGTAACTAGATGTTCAAATGAAGCATCTTAACTTCCATCGAACTCGCGATAGCTCAGACTCAAAGTTCTCGATAAAAAATTTATCTTTCAAATGGCGGGCATTATTAATCGTTATGTCATTAATCATATCAACCAATTAATATTTAGTTCTAGAATAAAGGAATGAAACTCTTTAAGGACTCGTAGCTAATAAAGGGAATTCATGAACTTAGCTTCTAGAGGAGAGAACATTACATGTAGAGAACATAATCTTGCTAAGGGTGATTAAAGCATACTTTCAAACTAACCAGTTAGCACTGTAACAAAAAAAGATATTTCGAGAAGCACAATCTTCAAACCTATACAATGACATACTTTTTTGTCATGTTTTGTCCTCTTTTTCAGTTTGTTTGTTTCTTAGTTACTCTGTGTCATCATTGATCGGATCTAAAAGTGACAAACCTACTCTTTTTTCTTCAAGGTTCCTGTGGATCGCTCTATGAAATCATTTCCAATTGCAACTACGATTATTCTCCAGACAATGAGGACACGACTTTGCTAAGCCTTCCGGGATGGATACCCCTACCCCTCAATACATCATGGCCCAGTGCTCTCCAAATTTGCCCCAAGCCTTGGCGATACCAATCAGCAGCAGATCTTCGCAACAACCCCATCCAAGGGACATACAACTCGTACGAAGGAGGTGGATATGCAGCAGTCATGGGCTATGATGAACGCACTGCTCTAGGCGTCCTCCACGAGAAAATTACGAATGGATGGATCGATCGCCAAACTCGAGCTGTAATTAAAGAGTTTGCTATTTTCAACGTGAATACAAATTTGATCAGTATTGCTTCCTACTTTTATGAGGCCATAGCTACTGGTGCAGCGTATACTTCAAGAAGAATTGAGACATTTGAGTTGTACAGCACTCAGTCAGGAACTCTGATGTTTTTCGTCATTCGCCAGTTTCTTTTCATGGCAATGGTCCTCTTTTACTTCATAGTTATGTTAGTTCACCTTTATCGCCAACGCTTAGAGTTTTATAAGTCTGTTTGGAACATGGTTGATTTCTTCATGATCATTTTCTCTGTAGCCTCTGTAGCATTTTACAGGATAAGAGCTACAAGCGTTTTAAACACCATCAAAGCTATTCAAGCCAATCCTTATGAAATCGTGCATTTTCACACAGCCTTGGATTGGCTCAGTGTAGAAAATGCGTCCATAGCTGTAGCTGTTTTTATGGTGACAGTCAAGTTTCTGAATTTAATTCGTTTTAATCCACACGTAGTATACCTGTTTTCATCTTTTCGGCAATCTATAGGCTATCAACTATCGTATGGATTCTTCTTTCTGATCGTGTTTAATGCATTTATCGTCACAGGCATGCAGTTATTTGGTGGTATAGTCCTTGAGTATTCTAGTTACCTCGATGCTCTCATCTCACAATTCGAATTATTGTTAGGAAAAGCGGTCCCATTACAAGCTCTTCGAAGCGACAAACCCTTTATTGGTCCTACGTTTGCATTTTTGTTTTGTCTATCTACAACAGTATATCTAATGAATATGCTGGTTTCTGTACTCAATGAGTCATACGGTGACGCCAAAACGAACGCCGAGGAAAATGTACAAGAGCTTGAAATGGCACATTTCATCGAACAACGAATAAAGGAAGTGTTCCATGATGGAAGTAATCGGACTGAATTAAAGTTGTTTGGCGATGAGGCAACGTTCGCCAACATGTGTCTTTCTGAAGCAGAGCCTTTCTGTTTGAATTCTAAAAGTATAATACAGTGTACAAAGGAAAGAATGCAAAAAGTGGAGAAGAAACTGCTTGCCCTTTTTCGACGAGCAGAAAACATGGAAGCTGATCATTTTAAGGAGGAGAATGACTTTATGGAAATGCTTTATTCGATGGCAAATCCCTCTAGCTGTTACTTTAATAGACTATACAGAGATGATTTCTGAAGAGAGAGTTTTTGTCTTAAGTTACTGATGATGATTTAATTTAGCTTGTGTTTTTTGTAAGAAGAGAAATAAATGCACCTTTAGTGCAAGGTTTTGTGAGTACCTAACCCAATTTTAACTTATTCATATTTCCTTTCACGATATTTTTTTTAAGTGTATCTCCTTAAATAATAGATAATTAGTTTACTTTTCCTATGTACCGAATGGATAACGGTCTCATTTGTTCGGCTACGAAACCTTTCATCCCACTTCCGTTTAGCAATCTGGCTACGACAAGTTCAGATTTCAAAGGCATCGTTCGCCCGCAGTCGGTATTTTCGTGTTTGCTCGACCTTGTTTCCAAGAACTTGTTGTCAGCAGTTTCATCTACCTTCTTTAAAATCCTCGCAATAATTATAAACATTTGAGGCGAAGATCTTCCATAATCGATTTATTCCGAAGCCATCTTATAGGACCTCTGATAGGTCTTACCTGCATGTGCTTGGATAAAATTAGCCAGCACCTCACTTTTATCCATCCTCGTCTCATTTAATCCCTGGTCGACTTACGACTGGAAAGTAATAGCAATAGCAACGCATGTTTGGCTTTCATTTTTCTTAGTAACTATCCTTACAAGGCTTTTGGTGTTTTTATATCTGTTACAACCGAGTAATTTTCGGCAATTCTTATTGTGTGGTGTTGCCATTCATTTAATTTACAGCACGTACTTCAGTTTGTGCTTTCATCTTGTATTCTATACTTTTTTCTATTTTTTCTTTCATTTTGAGTACACGGCACTTAAAAAGTCCAAAACCTCAACCGAGGAGCAACCAAACACAACAAGAGATAAGGACCATCTTAAGTCGGTTAACGCGCATGTCAAACATATTGTGAGACTAGCGTGAAATCGAATGTACTCGAAGTCAATAAGCTTGTGGAAACTTTTAAAAAAAGCCTCGTAAATGACATAATTAGTAAGCGCTCTCCTTCATCGAGCACTTAAAAGAAGAGTCGTTCATTGATTCCTGCGGGAAGATTTGGAAACCAACGCAGGACCGATTTTTTAGCGACATCGAGCCGAATCGAAGGATGGGATACAAAAAAGTGCGGATTGGCTTATTTGCACCTTCTCATCCAGTCTTCTTCAATTACCATCAACATGTCAATTATTTAAAGAGTCAATGAAGCTCTGCGGGAGTTTAAATTCGCAGATATACAATGTCAGCCTTTGAATCAAAATAAAAGATATTTTTTCCCAGAGAGTCCCTTTTCGATATGGGAGGTCGTTTTATTCAGAAGGTGCGAATTGCTTGTAGGAGATTGTGTCCATTGAAATCTGTTTAAAAGAACCCCTGCTTTCTTTTGTTAGAATATCCAAATAACCGTACCTATTTATTAATAATTTAATAACCTTTGTAAATATCATGTTTCTAGCCTGGATATTTTTGCACAGTAATATCACAATTTTAGCTTTTCGTTTAAATTCACCAAATACGATTTGACACAGTACAAAATGTATGCTAGGTGTGAACGATTTTAGTACTTAATCTGACGGTTCCAAAAAACGAAAACCATCGAACTCAGTAATGAAATATCAAAAAGCTCGTGGCACCGAGGGATAGCCCTAGGATACCTAAGCACTTTGATGTGTGCGATCATATTCACCAACATCCTGTCAATAGAGACAATCAGAATCGAAAGTAAAGGTAACAAATTAAAGTGTGTTTTTCATGGAAGTCGCAATTCGTCGCTCGCCTGCTATTCCAATTGTTTTCCATGACCAGTGTCCTGAAACAGGCTATTGTTATCAATGAAAAAAAATCAAAACTCCATGAAGAGGTAAAGAAAGAGATGATTTTAGGAGGCATTTTGTTTAATAACCAATTACTTCAAAAGAAAACAATTAAATTTCCTGCTACCTTCAATCTAAATTCTTCGTACTTTCCAATCGTCTATATTCCTACCAAATACATTATACTTCTTTAATCCCTTGGTACGTAACAACATATCTTTTAAACGAAAACAGAATTATCTATAGGCAAAAAGCATCGCTGCAGCCGGCAGGAAACTTGCTTCATTTCCCTTCTTCGATTCCTTGGCGAAGGCAGCGTGGTCGAGTGGTTAGCGTGTCGGACTTGCGATCCGCCGCTCAAGGGTTTATGTCTCGCCCTGGCCACTACCTGGATTTGTTTCACGGTAGCCCCGAGTTTCAAATCCTCGGCCATGCTTGTAATATAGCCAACTGCTTTGCCTTCGGCCAGTTGGGATTCTTAATAATGTTATTTTCAATTTGAATTATTTGTCTCAGCTGTTTGGTGGAAAACCTCAAAACTAGCTTCTAGCTAAGTGTTTCTCTACGTTAAAAACTGTTTATTATTATCATTATTATTACTACTTCTAAAATATGCGGTTTTATGCCCACTGCGAAAACTGATTAAACATTAATGTTACTTTTCCTTCAATAAAATCTCACCGCGGTAGGATTAGGTAAACAATGCCCAAAGTAACAAAAATGCTTCGGTTCGGTTTGGGTTGACGAAGTGACATCGACAAGATGAATGTTCAAAGGCCCTTAATTTTACTCAAAGTGAGCTGGCTTCTTTGAATAATTCTTCTGTTTAAACTGGTGCATGGAAAGGTACACGTATTTATTAACCTTCAATGTAAAAAATTCCTCCTTCTATAGGTTCAAATGTTGGTAGTGGTAACTAGCAGAGGCTTGGCGAGTGGAGGTATGTTTTTCTCCTATAATTTTGTACTAAAGGACACCTTCATTTTAAAATGGATAAGTCAATTCACAGGACTTCTTTTAAGATTAAGAAATTTAAAATAAATAAACGCGGCATAATTTGGGTTACTCACATGAAAAATTCTGACTTGGGAGAAATAAAAAGCATCTCATCCGGCGTACGCGAATTGCATGCTAAGGTCCAAAGCAGAATGGTTTGGACGAGGTGAATGAATTTATAAGTATTTTCTAAACTAAGTGGAAGAAACTGTCCGAATTACTTTAAAAAGAAACTTCAAATGGATGACGATAGTGCAGTAACAGACCCCATTGAAGGTACTACGCGATATACTATATTTGGCTCACAATGAATCATGTAAAATCCAACCACTTTCATATCAGCGATGTATCGTCAAAAGCATCGAACAAAAATCAAAACAAAGTGGGAAGGAATATCAAAGATGATTTAATGTCTAACGGCCTGAAAATATTTTTTTCAAAAACAAGTCCTTCAGCACAGATAGCTTGATCGCTGAGTTTTATTTGTGCCTCTGGGAAGATACGAGTAAGGCTATGGTAGAAAATTCCAATTACACGTTTCTAAAAGGCAATTTTTTTTAAAAACCACAAAGGCAAGGCATCATTCTAATGAGTCGTAATAAAGACAAAGATCTCCCTTACTTGAAAATCAAAGTCCTTCATCTTTACTTAATGTAAACTACAAGATAGCAACATGAGCGTTAGTTTCTAGATACCCTGCTGGCAGAGGCGTTTATTTGTTAACTTCTCCTACGGTCCACGTAAAAATAAAGTCCTCTGCGCTCGCCCTGTTAAATCTTCTTCAAGCATGCGCGGCCTGTTCCTTAGAAACAAATTAATTCCCGGTAGTACTCGGCCAACTTTCAACTTCCGGTGAGGATGCGTGCGCATAAAAACATTTTTAAAACAGGTTCTGACCGGTTTTGCAAATCAGATTATCCACAAACTTGGATAATTCCCATGCGCATACTCGAAGAAGAATTAACAGGCCAAGTGCAGAGGACTTTATTTTTACGTGGACCGTAGGGGAAGTTAACAAATAAACGCCTCTGCCAGCAGGGTAGTTTCTAGAGTGAAGATGATCGCTGATTTTATTAGCGATTCGCAAGCTGGGTACATTGAAGGTGGATTTATCGGACAAAATGTTAGCAAAATGGTGGATACACAAAGTTCCACTTCTATACAAATTATCGAGGTTATAACAATAATAATAATAATAATAATAATAATAATAAAGAGTATTTCTATAGCGCACAACTCCAATAAATTGCCCGTGGTGCTTTACAACAAACAAAAATTAATTATAAACAAACTACATTTACAACATTCACTAACAAAGATTTTAAAAAGATAAGTTTTCGAAACGCTTTTAAAAATGTCAACAGAAGAACTCCTACGTATTGAAAGAGGCAAAGAGTTCCACATAGAACCGTTTTTCTCTATTTTGAAAACGCCTTTAACAGTTTATGATGGGCTTTTCTGTTAAGGAGTATGGAGGCGTTCGACTTTGACACAGATTTCAGGGAATGGATCCAAGTAATATTTAACAGCTATTCACCAAATGGAGGTGGGTAGTGGTGGATATTTACCAGCTATGCAAAGTGTCCACCACTAGCCAGCGATACTGAAGCGATTAGTTGTTCTAGTACACACTTAGCAGTGAGATACAGTTGTGATATAGCACAACATGATGATTTTAATTCATTTATACCTGCGGTGATTACAATGTCTTCAGGCGCAAACCCACGCGCACTCCTCGGAGGTGAATAGCAAAGGATATTCGGAGTTTTAATGGCCATTCACAGCCTGCGTTCGACGCCATCCACTGTTTTAATTGTAATGAACAGAAATATTTTGAGTTGTACGATCAATATCAATGTAAAGCAAGGGTGCCTGTTATTTGGAATTCTAATTGCGCTAGCTGTTAAATATTCTCAGGCACAACAAAGTCAAATAATTTGATAGATGGAATACAAGACATTGAAAAAGGAATAAAACTCGTTTAGTGTGCGGATGATTCCATCGAGAAAACGTTTTCATAACAGATTTTAAGGAAATCAAAGGAAACATCGGTGCGGAAAAAAGGTTACCATTTTTGATTTCGTAGCCTTATTTGTGTTTGCTGGTGGATTCTTTCCCTTGGTATCCCACATGAAAAGGAATGACCCTGTCAATCTTAGATAATAAGTGAACAGTAAACATCGATAAGGTAAGCAAATACTGTGATTTACTGAATATTTAAATTGTTTCGTACGCAGAAACCCTTGATAACTGTTACAGTAATGCTGTTGGAGTTTCCGATCCAAGCATCATTCTTGACAGCTTCATGACGGCAACAAGTCATTACCAAAGAGACTCTTGGAACGACCAACCAGCTAATGGACGTCTTAATGGTACCAAAAGTGATGGATGGTGCGCTGGAAAGAAAGATAAGGATCAATGGCTTCAAGTCGATCTCAGAAAAGTTTTTAAAGTGTGCGCTGTTGCAACCCAGGGAGACATTACTGGCAACGATTGGGTGATAGACTTTAAACTAGCGCACTCTAAATCCTATGAGGACGGGTGGCCAACTTATAGAGATGCTAACGGCTCGGAAGTGGTAAGATTTGGGCCAAAGTGCAGTTTTAAACCTGGAGTATTAAATATGCCATGATCTCCTATAGATAGATCTAATAGTAAATGGTTTTAGCTAAGGAACAAGAGGTGATTGTGCAGTCTGATCGTCCGAATAGTACTAACTGACACTTTTTTCTTAGTTAGGAGCCAGCTTTCCATCGCACAGAGTTGTGATAGATAGTTTGATTCCCTGATGTTAAGATTGCATTTGTTGACGACACCATTTCCAGCCGGTTGACTGTATCGCCAACGTAACACAATCAAACAGTATCGTTTCTCGTCAGATCACAAAAGGCACGTTCGCGTTCGCCAATAGTCTGCATCTCAGTTTCAGCGACAACGTTGGAAATACACAACTTCATAGCTGTTCTTTGCAGCTGTTTCCAATTTTCATTGTTATTGAATCCTTCTTTTGAGTGAACTGTATTTTTAAAAGCTTGTGACTGAGTCGTACATTCTCATTATGTCATAGACATTTCACAGGGAAGGTGGATCCCACGCAATTTCCCAACACCCACTGGAAGTTCCGGTCTATGCAAGATACATTCGTTTCCTACCAGTTACTTGGGAACGAAGTATTTGCCTTAGAGTTGAGATTTACGGAACCACTGGTGAGTTTGCCTCTATTGAATAGGAATTTTGACCCTGCTCTCTCCCTAGATTATCAGCAGAATACGATTATGTTTTCATGTCAAAATTTTGCCAAGAGAAATAAATGGTAGCCTTGTAGGAGAATGCTACATTTTTAGGTGGAGTTGTTCTTGGCGTTAACCAAAGTTATGAAATACATTTGCTCGTAAAATGATTTCAAAACTCTCCTAAGATCTCTCTTTTTCATAACTGTTTGATTTCTCGATCTGGTGGCTCTTCCTCCTCTCATGAATCGACTGTATCATCATTCTACATCAAAATGCCAGCATCATTATTTTCGATTCAATGTCTTCACTATACCTCTGTTCATATTTCGAATATAAGGATTATATAGATTCCATATTTCAACTAATTTCGGCCACAAACTCAAGCATGCATTTTTTTATCAAGTATGCATGATGATGACGATTATATATATATATATATAT